TATATTTTTTAATGTATTTTAATTCAAAGAATTTAGATCAAGTTAAATATAATTTCGGCAATTAAGTAAAATAATTTTGTCATTAATAAATAACTAGTTTCATCATTTCAGTTTCGTCAATTTTGTCATATTAAGAAAGGTAATTTTGTCAGATATCACTAACGTAAACTAAAAATGCCAGCTAAACTATAAATTCCCAAAACTCCAGAATTCTGAAACTAATTTCAGTAGTTTCAGAGATAGGATAACAATTTAACCATAACCTGAAACAGTTTTGGAGTTTCAAAATATAATTATTAATAAATTATATATGCTTTGGAGTTACAGAGATATATTTTTTAGTTAATTAAATAGTTTTAACAGTTAATTTCGATTGGTTATTTTAAAATCATATAAATTTTTCAGAAAATACAATTTTATAATAAAAGTTATGTCATTTGAAGTCATTTGAAAATTATTTACAAATACTGATTTATAATCTTTTTTTATTTTTTTTTTTTTACTTATCAAAAAAAGTTAAACATTTCATACTTCAAAAATAAACCTTTTTTTTCAAAAACTAGTGTAATTTGCTAATCCATAAACTTTAAAAATCATTTTTATTAGAAACAAGCTCAAATAAATTGATAAGATGACACCTTAATAATAGAAAACTTTATATTTACGTTAGAATTATTGTATACGAAGAACACTATTTAGCATATAAAAATCATGTCTATTCCAAAAAAATGAAAAGGAAAATTAGTAAAAAGGAAAAATCCACCCCAAATAATTCTTTAAAGAACCCCAAAGAAGGCTTATCTTCTATCCAGAATAATGAAATATCCTTCTAAAAAAAAGAAGAAGTAGTTAATAAAAAAGAATGAAACCCATTCCCCAAGAATCCTTCTAAAAAAATTTATCTCCTATCTGAAGAAGAACAAAAAGATCTGCTTCTAAAAAAAAAAAGAGGAAGTTAGTAAAAAGAATGAAACCTATCCCTCAAAAATCTTCCAAAAATCACAAACCTCCTATCTGAAGAAGAACAAAAGATCTACTTCTAAAAAAAGAAGCAGAAGTTAGTAAAAAAAATGAAACCTACCCTATAAGAATCTTCTCAAAGAAACTTACCTCCTATCTGAAGAAGAACGAAAGATCTGCTTCTAAAAAAAAGAAGAGAAAGTTAGTAAAAAGAATAAACCCATTCCTCAAGAATCCTCTAAAAATCACTTATCTTCTATTTGAAGAAGAACGAAAGATCCACTTCTAAAAAAAAGAAGAGGAAGTTAGTAAAAAGAATGAAATCCACCTTCCAAGATTCTTTTTACTAACTTCTTTTTTTAGAAGCAGATCTTTTGTTCTTCTTCAGATAGGAGGTAAGTGATTCTTGGTAGATTCTTAGTAGATTTTTAGGGATAAAAAGAATGAAACCCACTACTCAAGAATCCTTTAAATTACTTACCTCCTATCTGAAGAAGAATGAAAGATCTGCTGATATTATCAATTTCTAAAAATTGATTTTAAAGAAAAGAATTACCCGTCTTAAATTTATAAAAAAAAAAAAAATAATAAAATAAATTAAATTAAAAAAAATATATTAAATTAAAAATTAAATTAAAAAAAAATAAAAAAAAATTTAAAAAAATAAAATTATATGCTTACATCAAAAAAGGAAAATCGATTAATCAAATGATCAATTTCTATAAGCTTTATAAAAATAAAGCAAAATTTAACTGGAATATCAAGATCAGATATATTCAACGAAGTTAATGAGGATATTTAAGCACATATTAAGGTTCTATAATAGATGAATATTTGATTTTCTGACAATTTTGTAAACATGAACGATAAATTTGAAATTAATGATGATGGTAAAGTAGTAAATATAGAATGTTATCAAGATCCAGAACTTTTTGATAATAATTACTTATTCTTAGACCGCTAAAGAAAAATATAAAGATGTAAGTTTACTAATTAATCCCTTTTATCTACTTTATGTAAAAAATCCAACAAAATAACAGATGTAACTAACTTACCTTTTATGGCTGATTGAATTTTCCAGTTCTATAGACGAACTTAGAATCGACAAGTATGATCGCATTACAAAATCTGGATCAATGGAATTTTCATGATGAGAATGATGCTTCCCAGGGTTTACTTCATATTTTGTTATAACAAAAATTCAGTAATGACTAAAGTTAAATTTAAGACAAGTTCAATTGGTATTTATGCTAAAATTAAAGCAATTAATAAATAATAACTAACTCATAATTATACCCACAAACCTACAATCAAAATTTTAAATACTTTTAAAAAGGTGACTATATGCTTCTTATAACTGTTAATTGCTTCTCAATCATCAAACATTATACTAGTCCTTTTGCCTTTTTGCATAATTTGTTCTTGAATTTTTTAGGTGTTATTACTGGAAGTCCTTTACCATAGAAGGTTTCTATAGCAATAGACTATTTTTACTTTCTTAATATGTTTTTAAAATATGAAGATTAAGGAATCCTGTGTAAACAATAGACTTTTTTGTTTTTGGAATAATATTATTAATTTTTTATTAGATAAAATAAAACATTATTAAAAAAAAAATAAATAAAAATAAATGGATCGAAACTTTTGAGTACTATTTTTTATTATATAGTAGATAAATTTCTACATAACTAAATGACGACTATATACACTTGATCCTATCCCACTGTTTTACTTTAAATTGTAATATTAATTATATAAAAAAAAATATCTGAAATAATCTTATATATCAAAAAAAATAAAATAAACTATGTATCCTCGCCAAATTCTGCTAATAAATCTTCAGAAGTAATGTCTAATTTATCTTGTCTATTTGGATTCTCTTTCTCAATATTTTCATTATATTCATTCTCATTATCGTAGATAAATTCAAAATTATCAAATGGAATTTCTCCCAAACTATCAATAATAATTTAATGTTCTAAATTTAAAGTTTTTTTTAACCATAATAGTTCAATTACAACTTTAACATTATCTTCAAAAATCACTTCACTTGAAATTATTCTTTCTGTTATAAATTCAGTACTATCATCAAAATTATCATTAATTGATTCAGCTAACGTTAACTAAACTATTTTCATTATTTCTGATTTTGTCATTTTCTTTCCATAAAATGCTAATTTATTTGATGCATTTGATTTATAATATGTTATCAATTTTGTCATTGATTTTAGTTTTTCTACACCCAAATTTTGCCTTCTTTTTCCAATTAACCAGCCTAAGGTTGAAAATCCTCTCTCATGACTTGCACTATTAGGACAAATTGATAAAATATATAAAGCAACTTTTTGTAAATAATTAGGTTCTATTTTTATAGATTTCTACCAAGTAATTATTGAACTATCTTCATTAGAATATGGAATGTCAAATGGTGCATTTTGTTCTTTGTATCGATATAATTGTGAGTATAGCTTACATGTTACTTCAAGATCAAATTCAAAAATTTGAGCAACCTCTCATATTGTTGCTATTATGCAATTATATAAGCTATATTTTATAAGCCCATTTACTAAATTTAAGAAAATCTTATAGTTAGTTAAATACATATTATTATTATTATTCTTAATAAATAAACTTACTTTGAAAATGAAGATTTAAAAAAAAACAAAGTAAATATTTGTTATCATTAAATTCTTGAAATCATTTATTAATTTTGAAATACAATGATCATAAAATGATACATTGTCTTTATGTAGGAGTTTTTTAATTGCTGCATTCATTTGTGCTAAGTGAAAAAAAAATCATCTAGCATAACTTTTCTTCCTTCTAAGGATAAAACTGATTCTTAAATTGGATTTAAAACAAATGCCAAAATTTTAAATCATCAAAAAATTTTCTTTTAAGAATAATATGACAGATTCAGTTATTAAGATAATCTGTATGCTTTGCTACTATCTGTAAAATAAATAAAATATAAATTAAATAATAAATAAAATAATATAAAATAAAATTATATGATAAATACCTCTTCAAGAATAGGTTTTAATCTAATTACAGAATTTATACTTTCATTAAAAGTGGTCTAACGCATTTTACAATAAGATTTTAAACCTCCATTTATATTTGATTTTAATAATAATTCTTGAAGTTTTGCATCTAAAATATAATGTAATTAATATTATATAAAATAATATTTAAATATAAATTAAAATTAACTATTACCTGATATTGCTACCTTCTTAAAGAATGTAATAAAAATATTTACTTTTTTTAAAAGATTATCAGTAAAGTTATATTCAACTATATCACATGCCAAAAGGTTTACAAAATGTGCTATACATCTTACATCTTAAATAGAGGGAAACTCCTTATTAATAAGTTCTCATGCCTTTTGGATATTTTGCATATTATCACTCACTATAACAGAAAATTTACTACTTCCAATAGAATTAATTACTTCTTTGATTTGATTAGCAAGATATTTTCCTGTATGTAAATTTTCACTTAAATCAGATAATTTGTATAAATATTCTTTTCGATTAGAAGTTAAAATTAAAAAGTTCCATAAAGATCTATGAGAACTGCTAGTCCATCTGTTCAAGGCTAATAAAAAGAAAATTTAATAAATATATTAAATATAAAAATAAATTGATACTAACCTAATATTAAATTATTTCATTTTATAATTCCTTAATTATTTTATAATTAACTTTGCTTAATTCTTCTTCAATTAATCTTTCAGATAAAATTTCTCTTGATGAAAGTGTATAGGATTAAAGATGCCAGCCGAAACTCTCTCAAAATAATTTTATCATATTCCTTACTATATTTTTAATATAGTTTCAGCTAATTTTGGGTTTCGGAGTTTCATCGTATTCCTCACTATATTTTAATATAGTTTTGGCTGTTTATTAATTGCCTTTTTTGAGTTTCGTCCCTCATCTTTATATAGGATAGATTTAATTCTTTAATAAAATCTATGAAAAATGAATTTTTAACAATTTAAAAAGAAATATCACAACAAACAAAAAATTTTACTAAAGCATAATTAATTCTTTTTATATATCCTAATGTTAATTCTTCAAGTTGATTAAATGATTGTTTTATGTTTGATCAATTTATTTTCTTTTTTTAGTATTAGAGGAAGAGGTAAAGGGAAATTAGAAGATTCTTCAGAATTAGAATATTTTTGAAGATATTCTCATATAATATAATCAGGTGTTTTCTTGTAATAGTTAGTAATATAATTTTCTATTTTTGCATTTTCTCTTTGATATAAAAAAAAATACAAAATTTATAAGTAATACGAGCATCTTGTGTATTCTCAGAACAGTCATAATATTCCCAATATTTTTCTTGAGATCAATCTCCTTTTTGTATATTTTCTATGATTATATATTAAAAAAGAAAAAAAGATTAGATTATTATTTTTAACTTAACTTAATTAGTAAATCAGATTTAATTTAATATCTTATCAATTTCAAATTAAGTTTAATTAAATATTTAATTAATTTATTATTATCGGCTATAAACAAATAATATAAGTTTAAGGTAAATTTTGATTTTAATCACCGAAACTTATATAGTTATATGGGAACGTTTCCAGTAAAATCAAGTCATGAAGCATAGTAAATCATATGATCCGTAATGTGATTTTACTGGAAACGCTCCCATATAGTAAATATACTTCTGAAACTAGTTTTAGAGTTTTGGAGAAGATAATATATTATGAAGGTAGTTTTAGATTTCAGAAATAATTTCAGATTTGGGATTACGGGGTTTCAGATTTCAGATATTTTTAAAATAATTTCAGCTGGCAAATTTAACGCAAACATATAAATTTTTAAAAAATTTTTAAAAAATTATTATAATAAATTTTTTGAAACTTAATTTTATAATTAAATTATTTTAAAAACCTTTTAAAAAACTTAAAATCTTTATTAATAAAGTTGATAAATATATATTAAATTATATTTTTATATATAATAATAATATTACTAAAACTAATATTTAATATTTTATAAAGAAATTAACAATTATTTTTAATTTCGTAGACAAATTTGCCTGCTAGACAATATAAAGGATAATTATCAAGTATTCTATTTATATATTTAAATAAGAAATATCAGAAAGTATATAATAGGCTGAAATTATTCAAAAATTCTCGACAATAAAACAAATAATAGATATTTAATGTTATTTTATTATATCTACAATACTTATTAATAAGTTTTACATTCTTTTATAAACTTTTTATACTATAAATATATAAATATAATGTGGTATATATAGTATAAATGATTGATAAATTTGACAAATCTGACATGTCTAACATATCTGACATAATCAATATATTAGATATAGTTGATATATTAGATATATTAGTTATATATTATAAATTAAACATATACAATATATTAGTTTATTTTTTTATATAATGTATTTTAAATAAATAGATAGCTTTTAAAATTATATAAAAAGTAGAATTTGACAAATTAGTTTTTATAGTTTTAAGAAGCAACAAATCTATTATGATTTTATTTTAGTTTTTAGTTTTTATTTTTTTATTTTATTTTCTTTTCTTTTATCATATCTTTATTTTCTTTTGTTTTTTATCTTCTTACTTTATGATTTATTTTAAATTATAATTACTTAGTAAACTTTGAATTATTATAAACAATTATATAAATATTTCTTGGAAATTAATTTTAAGTAAACTCATAAAAATTGTTGAAGATTACTATATAATTAAAAGAATAAATACTCAGATATCCTATCTAACAGTTATAATTCACAAGTATACATGTCATAGTAATTGTTTTACCAAAAATGTAATACAAAATATAAGTATGTAATTATATCAAGACCCTGAACTATACTAATAGAACTCACAAATGTAGTATGAACACACAATTAAAATTATATTATATAGTATAACTCAGTCAATATTAATGCTAGAAAGATGAAATTACTATCATTAGATTTCTCTCGATTAGACGAATCTAATAGTATAAATTTCATTAATATCGAATCACTAGTTATTAAGATAATGGGGTATGTATGATAAGTAAATTTGTAAAAATAAGCAACTTTTGGCAAAGTTTACATATAAACTCTACGCTAGAGGTGTGCTTCGAATCCGATCAATCTGGATATTCTGTCATTAATCCAAAATTTAACTGGATTCAGATTGATCCATTTATATCACCAGATTGACCGGATGGATTATCAAATATCTGGTGAACAAATTGAACAGTCAATTCGACTTAGGTAAGCATAAATTTATTTTTATTTTTATTTTTATTTTTTACAATAACGATAATATTAAATCTACGTATTACATTACTTATTCACTCTCTCAATACACACACGCACACAACACACATACACACACACACATATTCTCTCCCTCTCTCTCTCTTTCCCCTCTTTCCCTCTCTACTCCTGGATATTTTACTCCAAATTTC